CCCCAACTTTAGATTCAAATTCAGACCTTAGAGTGTAAAGATAAAATCTGTTATTCTCATTTTAAAGGTTGGTAAAGTTGTCATCAACCACTTCCAGGTCCAAGAGGGTTCCCTAAAAAGGTCAACCAACATCCGTGCTCCGTCTTCACGGGCCCTGAACGCAGCACGCCATCATCTTCCTGTTTCTGAGAATAAATGATGAACATTTCCAGGTTTGAAGATTAGAAACTCACAACTTATTCAAATGGAGAAACATGTTTTAAATGGCTTAAATATTCGAAACACAATAAAACCGGTCAGGCCTGAAAACGTTAAAATTATGAAATGAAATGCAACAAACTGCAGATTTAATTGTTTGATGAATTCAGAAAATGTCAACTTTTATGGAAACTGGGTCCATGTGCTGTAAATCTTCTCAAAAGCATCAGCATTATTTATTAATAATCTACATTTTATTGGTGGAATCTGTTGTAAAGTTTTTGTTTATTGTTAATTATCAAAACTGGAATTGTTAAAACACATTTAGATGTCAGATACTGTAATTATTGATCTGTAATTGGACACAAAGAAACTAAAAAGTCCAGTTTCTGACGGTGACTCCAAACATCTTCTCTGCTAACACCACGTGATGCTTTTTCCCAGTTTCCATGAACGCAGCAACAAATGGCGCGCTTTTCTCTTCCTGTCTTTTTAATGTTAAGTCAAACTTTTCAAAGATACTCATAAATGTTGGGCCAAAGAGAGCTGACCATGATTATTCTTCTAAATGTAGTTTTCATTCACATTTATTGAGTTTTAACTCTTTAATCTGCAGATTGACTCAGTTTTAATCTCATATCGGTCCTTTGAGTGAAGCTTCCAACCAGCTCTGCGTTTTCACATCAAAGTTAATCTAAATATCGTTTTAACAGATTAATGTTCTTTATTCAGCGTTTTGAAAACGTCTCGGTTTGTTGAAAGTAAAAAGGCAGCTGGACACATTTAGATGCTGAAAATGAAGACATGGAGGAAAAACTGACTAAAAGGTCAAAACAACAACAAAACAACAACAAAGTGCGGCTGAATAAAACTTTCAGACATCTTTCAGAAACATTATCTTCTTTTTATTCCAAGAAAAAACTGTTTTCATCCCAAACGAGAAAATAAAACAAAACAAACTTATATTATTAATAATAACAATAATCGATCATTAGGAGGATAAGTAGGACGATTTTCTCCGTTTTTTAATTTTGTTGCTTCTTCTCTATGATGAGATCGGCGGTGGTCAATTAAACATGCAGCTAAATGAGTCTGATGATGAAGGTCGAGGAGGAGGAGGCGGAGTTAAGGCCGCCGGCTGAAGGCTGTTCCTCAGATGATGTGTCGACACCAACATGGCCGCCAACATGGCCGCCAGTGGTGGGAAATGATCCAGATGTTGGCAGCTAAGCTAACAGCAGCCAACAAACATGATAAGACTTTTTAGGTTGACGGCCTGATCACTGAGCAGAACCAGAACCAGCTCCGATGAGTCTTCAGGTTCAGTTCTGAGCTCGAGCAGATCGTCCAGTTCAGTTCACCGTTAGCATTCTTCATTAAAACCAATGACTCCTTTAGCCACAAAGCTAATATCCTGCTCTCTAACAAGAACCAGAACATGTGACGGGCCTTCAGGTTTGGTTCTGACAGCAGCTCAGAGCCCGAACGCCTGGACGTCTGGTTCAGGTTAGCGTTAGCAATCTTCATTAAAACCACTGGCGCTGTTAGCCACAGAGCTAACTGGATGGTTGTGAAGGGGTTAAAGTTCAACCTGCTGGAAGCTGCCGACTTTAAACAACAACTGATCCCAGATCAGCGGTAAGACCCAGCTCTGCGAGGTAACAGGAAGTGAAGCAGGAAGGAGGAAGCTGATGATAAAAAAAGAGTGCGTCTGTGTTGGATGATTTATTTTGTCATGTTGGAGTTCTGTCTGTGGGTCAGGGGTGAGGCGGGCCGGGGGGGGAGGGGGGGCGTGTCGCGTTTCCCAGGTATCAGCTGCTGTCGGGCGACGGCTCCCTCTCTCGATGCATGGCGGCGGCGCTCTGATGTTTCATGCTGTCCAGATACTCCTGCTGGGAGACGGCGAGCACCGACGCCAGAATCTCATCGTCCTCCCAGTCCGTCAGACCTGAGACACAAACACGC